TAATTTCTGTGTTGCTTGTTAAGATTTCTCTGGTGATGGTCTGGTTGTGTGAGGAGATTATATGCTCCTTGATGGAGCCCTGTTGTTTGTGCATTGTTAATCGCCTAGAAAGAGACGTTGTTGTCTTGCCTATATACTGAGATCTTTGGGGCTGACAGTCCCCAAGTGGGCATGTGAAGGCATAGACGACGTTGGTGTCTTTCAAGCTGGAAAAGGAAGCTGGCAGCTCTAGGGTCCCTTGTTGTTTCAATTAGCCTAGAACCCAGTTCCTTCAAAAAAACGGTAGCACTTTTACCCCAGGCGCCGAGTGTCTCAGAAGCAATGGGGACAAAATTGTAGTGGTGATCCAGTTCTCTGTACTTACGGGATTTGGCTGCTTCCCTGTGGGTGGCAGCGCCACCTGGTTGGGCAACACTGAAGTCAATGTAGGTGTTAGCCAGGTTTGAAATACACGTGCAGTCCAATACCAACTGCTTGCCATTCTTCCAGTGGTTCACTGTGATACCATCTGGACGACCAATCAGAGCATCAGAGTTACGGGGCATTAGGTAATGGGGCTCTCTTTCAGCTGGGCATCCATCTGTGGTGAGGCTCCTCTTGATGATGTCGTTAACTTCACTGTGCCTCGAGTGCCATCCCCCTGTGCTTTGGCAGAGTAGGCCATGGTGGCCGTACCTGTCAGCCACCACCTCGCCGCAAATACACCTATATCTGGTGTGGATTGGGGCAGCAAAGTGGAGGGCCACAGCAATTCGGAGGGCGTGTGGTGTGAGAAGCGACCAGTTGCTAACATTGGGGTTGCTAACAGGAAATTCCCTTCATGTGGGACTGCTACTGCTGTGAGGTGAGCAATGTCGTGTTGTGTTGTTGCAACACCCAGGCATTCTGCAGCAACTTGGTCTACAATGGGACCATCCCAGCTGGATTGCCTGTGGGCTTTTGAGGATGGTAGTTGAGGCGATGAGCCTGCACGAGAGGCCCACTCGGGGCCGTGTAAAATTTGAATCGTGTACACCTGCCAGCTGATGTAAGTAGGCAGGTAGAATTCCTTCACAAGGTCGTAGGATGCCGAGGAGGTGGACAGAAGGCTGGTACAGCGATTTGTGTTGCTGTTCGAACTAGGAGGCCCCAAGCCTTACTGGAAGAGAGGCTTGTTTCCACTGTAGGTCATCAAGAGAGAGAGGTTAAGGGCTTTTTCTAGCATTGATTTCAGTGACAGGTCATACTCACCTAGTTTTTAACTACTGTAGGATGGTGAACACCTCAGAAAGTAGGTTAACCTGGGGAGGGACAGACATCTGGTGATGAGGTAAAGTGCATCATGAACATCAATATCCTCAATCCATCCTCTTAAGGTCGGCGATTTTTTTTTATCAAGGACCTCATCGACAGCTTTCAACCCCAAGGGGAAGGGGCTTCTAGGAGTATGCTGTCTTCAGGTTTAGTTTATGGATATTTGGCAGAAACCCTCTATTCTCTCTACGATGCCCTGGTTGGAACATATTACTTCACATTTAAAAGGGTTCAGGGTGAGGCCTAAAACTTCACCTTGCTCCTGGATTTTTCCTGATGTCCTCCAGGAGGGAGTCTTGGGAACCAGCAAGGGTTATCTTGAGGTGATTTCGGGGCTTTTAGTGTCCCCCGCGGCCCGGTCCTCGACCAGGCCTCCACCCCCAGGAAGCAGCCCGTGACAGCTAACTAACACCCAGGTACCTATTTTACTGCTAGTTAACAGGGGTATAGGGTGAAATAAATTCTGCCCATTGTTTCTCGCCGGCGCCTGGGATCGAACCCATGACCACAGGATCACAAGTCCCGCGTGCTGTCCGCTCGGCCGACCGGGTCCCTTATCATCCAAGGGTACCATCATCCAAGAACCAGATGTTAAGCTTGCTGGAAAGGACTTCTGTGACTTCTTTGATGACTAAGCAGAAAAGGAGAGGAGCAAGGTGGTCACCCTGTTGGACGCCTTCTTGCGAGTCAATTTCATATTCACCAAAAAGTAGCTTTAGATTCATACTGTAGCATGAATGTTCAAAATGGAAGAGGGTAGGGAAATGACGATGAACCTCACGGAGTACAGCATCTCTCCGCACCAAATTGAAGGCATTTTTTAAATCTAGCTTGATAAGGGCCTTTTCGTCTGTGATGTCAGCGATGAAGGCTCGAGCTGTGTGGGCTGCCGCCTCACACCCTTGTGGAATGCCGAACCCGAGCTGGCTTGGCTTTAACATTTTGACCGATTCCTCACTAACTGTTCTTGCAGCAGCCTTTGCGACGAGACGCCGGAGAGAATTCCCACAGCTATTGGCCTGATCCCTCCATCCTTTTTCTTTAGAGAATAGAGAGATACTCCAAAAAAAATTGGTCTTATGGTCTCTGGTATGTTGCCAGCTAGACATGTGTTGGTGAATCTGGTTAGTTCCACCAAGAGGCCCTGTGCAATGTCACCCAGTGCAGGGTTCAGCATTTGCTTGATTTGGTTGGGTTTTAGTTCTGTAAACCCATCTGCTGATCCTGTTTGGAAAGACAAGGCTGCTTTATGGACCACAGATTCGGCCACCCAGAGAGGTTCTGCTCCAGTAGCACCAACTTGTACAATGTCGTCCTCACGTGGAGCCCTGGGTGGGTGTTTTTCCCATAGGACTTGAGCTGTTGCGACATATCTGTCTGCAAGTGAGTCCTCACTGGTGATGACTCGTATTGCGCCAATACTGTTTCCTTCTTCTATTTTCTTGGTGACTGATGTTCGATTCTGATTTTTGATCTCTCGGATATGCCACTGTTGCTCTTCCTGCCGTGGGTGTTTCTTGCGCGACTGGGAAGACGCACCTGGTTATTCTCCCTGGGAAAATCATTTATGGCTTTGATGACTGAGGCAGCTAAGGTTTTGTCTCTCCTTGCAGGGGTGGCTAGCAAGGCATATGTTGCCAAACAGTAGGAGGTTGTGCCATGCTTGAGTCGTTCCAGGAGAGTCGTTGACCTAAACACCTGGCTCCGTTGTGGAAATGATTGGGCACATTTTTGGCACGAATCTTTTCGATATTCCTTATGTTTTCCTTCACTGAAGCAGGAAGATTAAAACTAACTCTCCAAAGTTTATTTTTACTCATTATTTGAGTCTGACGCCAAGTGATGCGTTTTGTAAGGTCTCGCCTCACATTCTCAAAGACAAATTCTTCTGTTGTTGTTGTTTTAGATTTAGCTACTCAGAACGAATTGTTCATGTAGCACGGGCTATAGTGTTCCCGTAAGGCGGTAATTCTGTGTTAGCACCTGATTATATCCTCTAATAGTAAGGTGGTAGGTGACATGGATGAATGACATACATGGGGTATTAATGGAGTCTTATACAACGGGGTAGTAAATTAAGAGTGTGACCTGTTGGTAGTTTATGTTCTTCTAGTTGCTTCTGTTCCTGTTGCAGGGTCATTCAGTCCAGCTACTGCGTTGGCCCGGGGTCTTGAAGTGGGTAGAGTGTAACGGTGTATTTGCTGGTTATTGATTGCTGGTCTAGATTTCTTGATATGCAGCGCTTCACTGATGTCTAATCTTCTATTGTCTTATCAATTACTTCGGGATCGCTCGTCAAAATATCTCTGGTGATCGTCTCGTTGTGTGTGGCGATTATACGTTCCTTGACGTAGCTTTGTTGTTTGTGCATTGTTAAACCCTTAGAGAGAGACGTTGTTGTAATCGTAACCAATATATGACGACTATAGCACGGGAAATAATTATTCTATTTAATTAGAGATATTTACCCTTGCGGGTGGCTGGCCTCACCGCTCTACCCTAATCTATATTACCGGCCAGAAATAACTAGATTAAACGTGTTATCGCGTACAGAACACTTCCCTTATTTGCCAGGGAAGATGTGCTGATGATAAGAGATATGGCGTCCTGCGACACTGCGTCTGGAGGGAAATATTCGCAGAGCTTTCTAGCGTGTTCCTGGACGAGACTTTTGTTGGTGGTATAATATGGCGTCTCCCCTCTCCCTCCTGCATAGTTTTGTCTCCAGATGCGTTTTTATCATAAAGTGGAAAGAGGGTTTATATTTATTTTGTTTTAGTACTGATAATTAAATTCGTTTCAGGGAAATGGTTTTATGATGTTTGCAGTCCAGAGACCATTTTGTGAATAGGACCATTTACATGGACCATTTTGTGAATAGCACCATTTACATGGACCATTTTGTGAATAGGACCATTTACATGGACCATTTTGTGAATAAGACCATTTACATGGACCATTTTGTGAATAGGACCATTTACATGGACCATTTTGTGAATAGGACCATTTACATGGACCATTTTGTGAATAGGACCATTTACATGGACCATTTTGTGAATAGGACCATTTACATGGACCATTTTGTGAATAGCACCATTTACATGGACCATTTTGTGAATAGGACCATTTACATGGACCATTTTGTGAATAAGACCATTTACATGGACCATTTTGTTAATAGAGGTTCATAGGAATATTGTAAAGGATTAATTGTGTTTTCCATACAAGCTAGCGATAAACGTTCGTTTGTGTAATCTTTTGAGAAAAAGTCGTTATGTTTAGCTGGCGAATGTTGTTTACAAGCAGAGATCCTCACCCAATCTCCAGGTCTCTCTTAACTCACAGGTGGTGTGAACTACGGGAGGAGGAATGTGACTGGTGGGGCCGCTAATTGTTGGATAAGTATCTTGTTTCCTTGCTGGGGATAGATAGCATTAACATATGGGGCATTATACGACCTATTAACTTATGATGTTGTGATATTTTCAGTAAAGTTTGCCCAGTGATGATGTATTCCTGAGCAGGGTACTCAGATGCACTCTATTTAAAGGTGCTACTGGCTGCAAGGTGAGGATTTAGCTGAGGAAAAGCAGTTAAATCACTCCTTTTGAGTGAGTAAAATATTTGAATCAGTAATAAACATCCGCATTACATAAAGGCACCACAACACACTCGTAGATATTCCTCTGACATTAAAATCTCATTAGCCGTGATGGTGGAAGGTGGCACTCGCCCTCACAGTCGCCGCCTGACTCGCCCTCACAGTCGCCGCCTGACTCGCCCTCACAGTCGCCGCCTGACTCGCCCTCACAGTCGCCCCCTGACTCGCCCTCACAGTCGCCACCTGACTCGCCCTCACAGTCGCCGCCTGACTCGCCCTCACAGTCGCCCCCTGACTCGCCCTCACAGTCGCCACCTGACTCGCCCTCACAGTCGCCGCCTGACTCGCCCTCACAGTCGCCGCCTGACTCGCCCTCACAGTCGCCGCCTGACTCGCCCTCACAGTCGCCGCCTGACTCGCCCTCACAGTCGCCACCTGACTCGCCCTCACAGTCGCCGCCTGACTCGCCCTCACAGTCGCCCCCTGACTCGCCCTCACAGTCGCCACCTGACTCGCCCTCACAGTCGCCGCCTGACTCGCCCTCACAGTCGCCCCCTGACTCGCCCTCACAGTCGCCACCTGACTCGCCCTCACAGTCGCCGCCTGACTCGCCCTCACAGTCGCCGCCTGACTCGCCCTCACAGTCGCCGCCTGACTCGCTCTCACAGTCGCCGCCTGACTCGCCCTCACAGTCGCCACCTGACTCGCCCTCACAGTCGCCGCCTGACTCGCCCTCACAGTCGCCCCCTGACTCCCTCACATCTACACAGGTTTTCCGCCACTTCCTTTCAGAGCAAACTTCCATTACAGACAACTCTTGTGTATAAGAAAGAGCAAAGAGGAAAAACGTTGGCAGCTCTGGAATTTCTGGCCGTCTGATCCACTAATTCAAGGCCAGCCTTAACTGTGGCCGTCTCCACCTGCTCAGTCTCGCCCTGGGGACCATGGCTGGAGGCACTGGCAGAATATCCACTTTCCCTCCTGCTCTGCCTGGGCGCCTTCTTCTGATAATTACTTCTGCTTTCCTTCCTGCCGACTGGAACAGCAGCAGCAGCAGCACCACGAGCCGTGAACTTTTAAGATCCCAGAAGTAAATTAAAAGCTTATTTTCACTTTGGAATATGCAATTTGAACAAAGGATTCCTTATTACTAAAAAGGTTCTCACAAGGATAGATGATGAGGCTGGAATGTTCTCTTCCTTTTCTGGAAAAGAGTGAGACCATACGCCGGCGAGAATGACCTAATCAGAATGCAGTGGTGCCGGCGTTTTAAGACTTGCACGAAATTGCACGAGCTGGTATCAAAAGTAATCCTGGAAAAGACTTTTTTTTGGGGGGATGGGGGGGGGCTGTAATTTGGAGAAACAGGAGGCGATAATATCTGTAATATTCTGCAGCTACTCTGTTATAATGCCACAGACAGGTCACTGCGACACTGCTTCCTCGCACTCATGTTAGTGGGCCAGCGAGAAGTATGGACGCTGAGGGCTGACTTAGTGAGCCACCAAGAAGTATAGAAGCTGTGGACTAACTTACTGGCTCTGCAGGAAGAAGTATAGAAGCTGTGGGTGATATATTCTCCTGGGTTCCCTGGGAGGGTGGAGCCCCAGGAAGGCAGCACTTGAAGGGGGTAAACCCTCCCCCCCCCCCCTGCCCCGGATTCCCTTCATCAGATGATAGCATAGTCACATTGCCCCTCCCCCACCATCTCCCCTCTCCCGCCCCTCCCCACCATCTCGCCTCTCCCGCCCCTCCCCACCATCTCGCCTCTCCCGCCCCTCCCCCACCATCTCCCCTCTCCCTCACCCCCTCCCTCAGGTCACAGACTAAAGTTATTCCCGGCATGTGTGAAGCAAATGTCTCCCGTTGCCGTTAGGGAGACCAACGCCGCACTGAAAACAGATGCACCGGAGTTATCTGTACATATATTGCGGCAAGAGACTCGCAGCTCTATAAATACATTACTTTTTGAGACGGAGCTTCTGGTATCGTCCTCAGCCCCCCCCTTCCCCCAGGGTGTCGGGCTGACTTTCATTGTTGGGGTCGGGGGGTCGGGGGGTAGTTGGTTATCTCCCCTGGACCCCAAACACCCATCAGACCCCAGGGCCTGCTTGGACCCCAAGCACCAAAGCCCAAGCCTGCTCTATAGTTCTGCGTCATTGTGGCTGCATGCAGTGGTTTGTAGAGTACTCGTGTGTGTAGAGTACTCGTGTGTGTAGAGTACTCGTGTTTGTAGAGTACTCGTGTGTGTAGAGTACTTGTGTGTGTAGAGTACTTGTGTTTGTAGAGTACTCGTGTGTGTAGAGTACTCGTGTTTGTAGAGTACTCGTGTGTGTAGAGTACTTGTGTGTGTTGAGTACTCGTGTGTGTTGAGTACTCGTGTGTGTTGAGTACTTGTGTGTGTAGAGTACTTGTGTTTGTAGAGTACTCGTGTGTGTAGAGTACTCGTGTTTGTAGAGTACTCGTGTGTGTAGAGTACTTGTGTGTGTTGAGTACTCGTGTGTGTTGAGTACTTGTGTGTGTTGAGTACTTGTATGTGTTGAGTACTTGTGTGTGTTGAGTACTTGTGTTTGTAGAGTACTCGTGTGTGTAGAGTACTCGTGTGTGTTGAGTACTTGTGTGTGTAGAGTACTTGTGTTTGTAGAGTACTCGTGTTTGTAGAGTACTCGTGTGTGTAGAGTACTCGTGTGTGTAGAGTACTCGTGTGTGTAGAGTACTCCTGTGTGTTGAGTACTCGTGTGTGTAGAGTACTCGTGTGTGTAGAGTACTCGTGTGTGTTGAGTACTCGTGTGTGTAGAGTACTCGTGTGTGTAGAGTACTCGTGTGTGTTGAGTACTCGTGTGTGTTGAGTACTCGTGTGTGTTGAGTACTTGTGTGTGTTGAGTACTTGTGTGTGTTGAGTACTTGTGTGTGTTGAGTACTCGTGTGTGTTGAGTACTTGTGTGTGTTGAGTACTTGTGTGTGTTGAGTACTTGTGTGTGTTGAGTACTTGTGTGTGTTGAGTACTCGTGTGTGTTGAGTACTTGTGTGTGTTGAGTACTCGTGTGTGTTGAGTACTTGTGTGTGTTGAGTACTTGTGTGTGTTGAGTACTCGTGTGTGTAGAGTACTCGTGTGTGTTGAGTACTCGTGTGTGTTGAGTACTTGTGTGTGTTGAGTACTTGTGTGTGTAGAGTACTTGTGTTTGTTGAGTACTCGTGTGTGTTGAGTACTTGTGTGTGTAGAGTACTCGTGTGTGTTGAGTACTTGTGTGTGTTGAGTACTCGTGTGTGTAGAGTACTCGTGTGTGTTGAGTACTCGTGTGTGTTGAGTACTTGTGTGTGTTGAGTACTTGTGTGTGTTGAGTACTTGTGTGTGTTGAGTACTTGTGTGTGTTGAGTACTTGTGTGTGTTGAGTACTTGTGTGTGTTGAGTACTTGTGTGTGTTGAGTACTTGTGTTTGTAGAGTACTCGTGTGTGTAGAGTACTCGTGTGTGTTGAGTACTCGTGTGTGTTGAGTACTTGTGTGTGTTGAATACTCGTGTGTGTTGAGTACTTGTGTGTGTTGAGTACTTGTGTGTGTTGAGTACTTGTGTGTGTAGAGTACTCGTGTGTGTTGAGTACTTGTGTGTGTTGAGTACTTGTGTGTGTTGAGTACTTGTGTGTGTTGAGTACTTGTGTGTGTTGAGTACTTGTGTGTGTTGAGTACTTGTGTGTGTTGAGTACTTGTGTGTGTTGAGTAGTCGTGGGTTTAATACACCCCCCCCTCCAAGCACTACAATTATCACCTTCTGTGGTTGTGTAAACCAGCCACATGTAAACCCAGCCACGGGTAAACCAGCCCACAGGTAAACGAAACCACATGTAAACGAAACCACATGTAAACCAAACCACAGGTAAACCAAACCACATGTAAACCAAACCACATGTAAACCAAACCACAGGTAAACCAGCCCACAGGTGAACCAAACCACAGGTAAACCAGCCCACAGGTAAACCAGTCCACAGGTAAACCAGTCCACAGGTAAACCAGAGCACAGTTAAACGACAGGTGACTGGGTCACCAGACTCACAAATGCTTTCAAGCAATAATATACACAAATCATTCTGAAGTAAAAATAATAATAACAATAATAATAATAACAATAATAATAATAACAATAATAATAATAACAATAATAATAATAACAATAACAATAATAATAATAATAATTAACCATATTAAACACACTTATATTGATAACGAATCAAAGTATTGAAGAGAACAAAGAAAACGAGCCGATATGTTTCTCTCGTTGACAGTAATGTCCCGGACAATACCTCTAATGTCCCGGACAGTACCTCTAATGTCCCGGACAGTACCTCTAATGTCCCGGACAGTACCTCTAATGTCCCGGACAGTACCTCTAATGTCCCGGACAGTACCTCTAATGTCCCGGACAGTACCTCTAATGTCCCGGACAGTACCTCTAATGTCCCGGACAATACCTCTAATGTCCCGGACAGTACCTCTAATGTCCCGGAGAGTACCTCTAATGTCCCGGACAGTACCTCTAATGTCCCGGACAATACCTCTAATGTCCCGGAGAGTACCTCTAATGTCCCGGACAGTACCCCTAATGTCCCGGACAGTACCTCTAATGTCCCGGACAATACCTCTAATGTCCCGGACAGTACCTCTAATGTCCCGGACAATACCTCTAATGTCCCGGACAGTACCTCGTCTGCCCCTCATTGTCGACCAGGACAAATTGAGGTGGTTGACGGTGGATTAATCCAAAACAAGCGGGTTGGGGGGTTGTCCCCCCCATCTGAGGGTCCCCTCCACCCCCTTTCCTGCCCCCCCCCCCCCATCCCTTTAGGTGGGTCTCCCCCCCTCCCCCCACCCTCCATGGCAATTACCTGGGGGGGGGGGGTTATAGTCCTGTCGTTGGCTGGCAGTTCAATAGTGCCTAAGTGGCAGTGTTTATGCTAGGTCAGGTCAGGAGGGCCGGCAGCCTCCACGCTTCGTTATGTGCGCCTTCGATCACTCGCTCGCAATTGTGTGCGACTCTCAATAGGACCGGCGAGTAAAGTACAATAGGCCCATCAGGTAATGCACAGGTGGTGGTACTCGGCATGGTTTGAGTGGTGGTACTCGCTATGGGCTGAGTGGTGGTAGTCGCTATGGGCTGAGTGGTGGTAGTCGCTATGGGCTGAGTGGTGGTAGTCGCTATGGGCTGAGTGGTGGTAGTCGCTATGGGCTGAGTGGTGGTAGTCGCTATGGTATGAGTGGTGGTAGTCGCTATGGGCTGAGTGGTGGTAGTCGCTATGGTCTGAGTGGTGGTACTCGCTATGGTCTGAGTGGTGGTAGTCGCTATGGTCTGAGTGGTGGTAGTCGCTATGGGCTGAGTGGTGGTAGTCGCTATGGGCTGAGTGGTGGTAGTCGCTATGGGCTGAGTGGTGGTAGTCGCTATGGGCTGAGTGGTGGTAGTCGCTATGGGCTGAGTGGTGGTAGTCGCTATGGTCTGAGTGGTGGTAGTCGCTATGGTCTGAGTGGTGGTAGTCGCTATGGGCTGAGTGGTGGTAGTCGCTATGGGCTGAGTGGTGGTAGTCGCTATGGGCTGAGTGGTGGTAGTCGCTATGGGCTGAGTGGTGGTAGTCGCTATGGGCTGAGTGGTGGTAGTCGCTATGGGCTGAGTGGTGATACTCACCATGGTCAGAGTGTATGTACTCACCATAGTGGTATTGTTGGGTGAGGTTAGAGTGCTCCGTGGATAGGCCGGTTCAGGTGGAACAGCAAACCAGATTAAATGGACTTGACATTTGCAACAATGGTTATGGAAGAGGAGCGGACCTGCAAGACTAAGC